CAGCATTTTGAACAAAACCCAAGCGCAAACCCAACTCTCGGGAATCCTGTGTGTAAAAAACCAGTACGCGGAGGGGGTCCGGACATTCCCTGGACGCCACCAGGGGAGAGAGGAGAGTAGTATTCATATTGTGTATTGTGGAGGGGTTCGAGCAGGGGGGTGGGGTTCGGAGGGGGCGGGACCCCCGGGTTCCCGGGGAATAGGAGGGGGATTTTTTCACAGCAAAGCGGCGGTGGATCACGCTCTCTCCGTGATGATGATGATGATGATGATGATGATGATGATGATGATGATGATGATGATGATGATGATGATGATGAGGATGAGGATGAGGATGAAGGTTATGATGATGATGCTGATGAGGATGATGACGATGGTGATGATGGTGATGATGACGATGGTGATGATGGTGATGATGATGATGATGGTGGTGGTGGTGGTGATGCCGAGGATGATGATGCTGCTGCTAATTACGATGAGGATGATAATGCTGACGATGATAACGATAATGCTAATGATGATGATGATGATGATGATGATGATGATGATGATGATGATGATTCTGATGATGATGCTGCTCATGGTAATGATGGTGGCGGTGGTGATGCTGATGGTGATTATGACGATGATGATGATGATGCTGATGATGATGCTGATGATGATGGTGACGATGATGGTGGTGGTGGTAGTGCTGGTGATGATATCGATGATGCTGATTAGGATGATGGTGATGATGATGGTGATGATAATGATGATAATGATGATCATGATGATAATGATGATGATGATGATGCTGGTGGGGTGGCGGTGATGATCATGGTGACGATGAAGATGACGATGCTGCTGATGATGATGGTGATGACGATGCTGATTAGGATGATGATGATGATGCTGACAATGCTGATGATGACGATGATTCTGATGATGAGGATGATGATGATGATGATGATGATGATGGCGGTGGTGGGAATGATGTTTATGATGATGATGATGATGATGATGATGATGATGGTGGTGGTGGTGGTGGTGATGCTGATGCTGATTATGGTGGTTGTGGTGGTGATTGTGATGATGCTGCTGATGACGATGATGATGGTATAGTTGTTGAATATGATGATGATGATGATGATGATGATGATGATGATGATGATGCCGATGATGCTGACGATGATGATGATGATGATGATGATGATGATGTAGTTGTTGACTATGACGATGATGATGATGAGGATGATTATCATGATTATGAGGATGAGGAGGATGATGATGATCACGATTATGTTGATATTGCTGATGATGATCATGGCGTTGGTGGTGGTGGCGATGATGATGGTGATGATGATGATAAAAATGAGGATAACGATGAGGATGATGATGCTGATGGTGCTGCTGCTACTGATGATGACGAGGTGATGACGATGACCAGGATGATGATGCTGCTGAGAATGATGATGCTGGTGGTTGTGGTGATAATGATGGTGATGATGATGCTGTTGATGATGATGATGATGATGATGATGATGATGATGATGATATTGTTGACTATGCTGATGATGCTGATGATGATGAGGATGAGAATGAGGATGATGATGATGACGACGATGATGATGATGAGGATGGTGGTGGCGATGGTGGTGGGAATGGTGATGCCGATGATGATGATGATGGTGGTGGTGGTGGTGGGGATGATGATGGTGATGACGACGATGATAATGATGATGATGATGATGATGATGATGATGATGATGATGATGATGATGTTGTTGCTGTTGTTGCTTAAAATGATATCGATGATGATGCTGATGATACTGATGATGATGATGATGATGATGATGATGATGATGATGATGATGATGATGATGGTGTTGGTGCTGGTGCTGGTGCTGGTGGTGGTGCTGCTGCTGCTGGTTATGATGATGATCTCGTTGTTGATGATGATACAGAAGAATAACAATATTATGATGGTGTTGGCGATGATGATGGATGATGGAAAATGGATGATGGATGATGGATGATGGATGATGGGTGATGGATGATGATGATGATGATGATGATGATGATGATGATGATGATGATGATGATGATGATGATGATGATGATGATGATGATGATGATGATGATATGATGATGATTAAGATGATGATGGCTGTGCGTCGCACGAAAATGATTTTCCTTGGGTTCAGACGTGTCGCTCCTAGTATGTTGTTAGCCCCCATCTGCATACGATCGCCACATGAAGGCTCCGAGTTGCTTGGATCTGGGCCGCCGGCGGATGAACCTCGGCGGCGGCGCGGCCCTGGCCTGGGCGGTGATGCTGCTGGGGGTCGTGCGGCTGGGCCTGGAGGGGCAGACGCGGGCGCCGGTGCCCCCTCCTCTGCCGCCACCGCCGCCTCCGCCTCCGCCTTCTGCGGTCGCGGCGTGCCCCCTGTGCAGTGCCTTGGAAAAGGAGTCATCTTCCTTGCCTCTACCTGCGGGCCCCGTATAGGAACGGTCCTTCGGCCGTCTCCCTATCCCGCCTGGGCGCACAAGCGGTGCGAGGCCGCGCGGGTGGCCCGCGAGACGTGCCGGTTCGACCAGGTACCAGAGCCGTCCTGCGGGGCCCTGCCTGCGGCGGTGCTCGGGTCGGCAGCGGCGCAGCCGCTCCGTCCCGACGCTGAGGCGGAGTGGTTGCGTAGGTCCTTGGCGGGGTATTGGCCCATGCCGACGCCGCTGGGCAGAAGGTCCTCGGGACCACGACGCCTCCGCGGGAGGCTGCCGAGGCGGCGGCAGGAAACCAACAACAACGAGTCGCCAGGCGAGGATGTGCGCACCGTATGGGTGGACGTTGACAGCCACGGTGAGGGGTACAAAGAGTGGCGAGCGGTGGTCCGTGAGAGCTAGCCTGAGAGTTATGGCGACTCGACGCTGGAGGGACCGCCGACGTTGATGCGCTTGCTGAAAACATGGAGAGGTCTGGTGGGGTTCCTCGTGGCTGGCTTGAGATTTGGCGTCGTGTCTGCAGCTCGTCGTCGAGGCTCACATCCAGGACAGCCAGCGTCATGGATGATGGCCAAGTCTAACAGTGGCGTGGGCACCCTCCATGATGTAGTGGCGCCGACGCTGAAGCGGTACGGAATGCGCCACGCTAAATAGAGAAGGGGGGGGCCTCCCTCGCGCGCGCGCTGGGGCCAGGCGGCGGAGGCGGCGCTTCTGCCGGCGGCGAGGGTTCGGGCGGCGACGCTGCTGGAGGCGGCCGTGCAGACGGCCGGGGGCGATGGCGGTCGCGGCCGGGGCTCAGGCCCTGGCCGCGGCAAAAAGCGCAGTTCAGGGCCTGCCGTGTCCAGGGGCAGGCCGGCTGCGGCCAGCCAGCGGCCCTTGGGACGTCTTCCTGATGCCGCGCTCGCACCGCGCGCTGCCCCCAGAGGGGGCCGCCGCCGTGGCTGGCCGACGCGGTGTGGCGTGCGATCGCCGCCAGCTGGCGCGCGGGGCGCTGTCTTCACAGAACTGGATGGCGGGACTGCCGGCCGTCTCCGCGGAGGAGGTCGGGCTGGTTGGGCAAGAGATCGACGGGCGCAGCATGGGCACGGGCGATCTGCCGGCGCCGCTGGCGCAGGCTCTCGCGATGGGCCGCAGCGGGAGCATGTGCTTCTGCCC